GATTAACGAAAGGGACTTGCCAGATATAGTGACTTATGCCTTTCTGGTGCTTCTGGACTTGCTGTGTTTCAAGACTTGCTTTGCTTTAGGACCTGCTGTCCTTTTGTACTTGCTGCGCCTCTGGACTTGCTGTGCTTCTTGACTTGCTGCACTTCTTGACATGCTGCGCGTCTAGACTTGCTGCGAGTTTGGACTTGCTGAGCTTCTTGACTTGCTGCGCTCCTGGACTTGCTACGATTCATGACTTGCTGCGCTTTTTGACTTGCTGCACTTCTTGACTTGCTGCGCTCCTGGACTTGCTGCGGGTTTGGACTAGCTGCGCTTTCTTGACTTGCTGCGCTCCTGGACTTGCTGCGATTCATGACTTGCTGCGCTCTTGGATTTGCTGCGCTTTTAGACTCGCTGCGCTTGTGAACTTGCTACGCTTCTAGACTAGCTGCGCAATTGGACTTGCTACGATTTATGACTTGCTGCGCTTTTTGACTTGCTGCACACTTCTTGACTTGCTGCGCGCCTGGACTTGCTGTGGGTTTAGACTTGCTGCGCTTCTTGACTTGATGCGCTCTTGGATTTGCTGCGCTTTTAGACTCGCTGCGCTTGTGAACTTGCTGCGCTTCTAGACTAGCTGCGCAATTGGACTTGTTGCGCTTCTTGCCTTGCTGCGCTCCTAGACTTGCTGCGCTCCTGGACTTGCTGCGCATCTTATCCTGCAGCTATTTTGGACTTGCTGCACTTGTTGACTTGCTGCGCTTCTAGACATGCTGCGCTTGTGGACTTGTTTCAACTCTGGAGACTTGCTTCACCTCCGTGGACTTGCTTAACCTCTTCTCAGAGTTACTTCCTCAGAAGTACAGCAGAACTTACTTAGACAATAATGAAGGTCCTTTTCGGGACTATATTTGTTTTGTTTACGAATCTAAGGTTTCTTTATTTCTCTCAATATATATAGCAACGGCACGATCCTGATTGAAAATAATTGACGTGACGTCACAAAGAAATAGACGTCGCAGTGAAATTATGTGTTTCTTATATGTGTTTCTTATATGTGTTTCTTTTAACGCACTTAATACTTATAACTTAAGTTTAAATATTCGTATCAACATGAAATAAAGTTCTACACAAAAGGTTAGCTAAGTGTCTTAAAACTGAATATAAAAATTAATTTAATTATATTCGTGTCACTGGAACACACATAAAATAAAACGATAAAAGTTGAAAAATAATCAATCTTGACACTATACTGTCTCTTTAAAAGTGAAATGCAAAATAAATAAATAATTGTTTGAGTACACACATAAAAGAAATGCTATTTTTTAAAGTCAACACACTGAATACATAGTGACATTAAAAAAAATTGGCAGTTTTCTTTTAAGAAAGGACATAATCAACTTGATAATTGAAAGGAATGCAGCTTTCCAAACATAGTTTGTACATTCTCTTATCCAAAATTAGACATGTTCAGAACGAGTTTCCTACATTTCAACTAATTTCTGCAATAAATAGATTTTACCTATTTTACTATTAAGACATTGTGCATGTATAACTTTAATAGATAAAGTCGTACTTTTTCTGTGAGAAACACCATGTGCGTTTCTTGCAGGTCCTTATCGTTAAAGATAAATATAAAGATAAATATCCACAAAGCCGAACCAATGTAGAAAAATAGAAGGTGTTATTATTATATTTATATAGTAGTGCAATGTCTAATTGGGTGCAATGCTTTCATATGTCAAGATTTGTTTTGAAAGTGGAAATATTCAACTCAACGAGAATGTACTTTTTAAAAATATTTATTTTGCTTGTCCGTTGTGTAACATAAATTCATGTAAGATATTGCCGCTGATAAAACTCTTGCAATTTTAAAATACCGTTTGTATATAAATGGGTTCTTAAAGCTGTATTTATCGTGGTTTGCTATGTTTTCGATACGTACAGGTTTTCGATACTTTCACTTTTCTGCGCATGCTCTTTGAACCGGAAGACGAAATACGTCATCGGTTGTTTACAGAACGCAACGTACTTGACTTCTTTCGAGCCACCGTGAAACTTTGTAAAAATGCGACAAAAACAAGTGAGTAAACTTTCTTTTCTTATATTGATGATGAAATTTATGTTTTTTGCTATTACTTTTTCATAGTTATATATTATTCAGCATTAAAGGTATTATAAAATCATCAAAATAAATCCTACTGGAGGGGGAAATCCCCGTTCGTCTGCTCTTCAAAGTCACGTGACTGTCATGTGACCATGACGTCAAATTTTTGCTACAGGGTGTTTTCAAAAATTCGTTTACTGTATATTTTTTTTAATAAAAAAGGGCCTGATCTCATATGAAATAAATTATTGATTATCAATTTATTGTTTTTCTCCCCACAATACTGAGATCTGCAATATTACATCAGTTTTTTTTACTTCTCTTTCAGGTAAATCCTACTTCTTCTGCCTCAAAGTATAGGATGTACTCACCTACAGCCATGAAAAATGCTTATCAAGCAGTAAAAGAAATGAAGATACCAATTAAGACTGCTGCACGGCAATTTGGTATTCCGCAGACAACCTTGCGTGATAGAGTCCTTGGTAGAATTGATCCTGAAACAACATCTTCAGGACCCCAGTCACTTTTAAGTCAATATGAAGAGGCCATATTTGTTGAACATATAAAGGGTATGGCTCAGTTGGGTTATGGCTATTCACGTAGTGAGTTGATAGACCAAGCCTCTAACTATGCTACATTCCTTGGTAAACGAGATAAGGAACATCCATTGAGTGACAGATGGTACAGGTCTTTCATGGCCAGGTGGCCTGAACTTAAAAAAGTAAAACCAAGGGCACTTGTGAATTATAGGGCACAAGCTACTTCGAAAGAAAAGGTATCTGACTACTTCAGTAACTTAAAATCTGCCTTACTAAAAGACAATTTGATGGACAAACCTGAGCATATATATAATGTTGACGAAAAGGGTGTGCAAACTGAACATAACCCTCCATATGTTATTTGTGCAGAGCAATCAACACCTGCAATCACGTCTGCACTAGTATTACAACGATACTAGGTTGTGGCAATGCAATAGGTACACAGATACCTCCATTTTTTGTATTCAAAGGCAAGCGCATGAGGAATGAACTCTTAGAGGGAGCAAGTCCTGGAACAAAAGGAACAGTAACTGAAAGTGGGTGGTCTAATTCAGATGTGTTTTTAGAGTACTTAGATACCCATTTTCTGAAATATGTGCAACGTTCAACTGAAGACCAGCCATTATAACTTATATTTGATGGACATAAATCACATGTTACTGAACCAGTCATGGCTTGGGCAAAGGATCATAATGTTGATTTGTTTGTATTGCCTGCCCACACAAGCCATGTGCTTCAACCTCTTGATGTAGGCTGCTTTGGGCCCATGCAGCACATTTATAATGCTCAGTGCCACAAGTTTCTTAGAGAAAATCCAGCCTCCAAGATTAACAGGTACAATGTATGCTCACTGGCATGTAATGCATACAACTCTGCTTTATCAGTGGTTAACTTGAGGTCATCTTTTAAGCGAACTGGGATATACCCATTTAACCCGGATGCCATTTTGGATTCACAACTTGCTCCTTCAAAGGCTTACACAGCTCCAGAATCTGTAACAACTGAACTTGCTCCAGCAAAAGATGTTCCAATGCCTACTGAATTTTTCAAAAATGCTGAAAAATTTATTTCAGATAAACAAACATTTGAACATAAAAAACAAAACAAAACTATCAGTGGTTTAGTTTCAGGCAAATGCATTTCTTCACCCACTGTCCAGCAACAAATTATTGCTCATAAATCTGAAATGAAAAATAAATCATCATTAAAAAGTGTCAGTGGGAAAAAGCAAAAGTGTGTATCACTTACTTCAACCAGCAATAAAAGGAAACGTGAACCGAGTCCCCAGCCTTGTTCCTCAAGGAAATCAAAAATCACGTCTCCATATGTTGTCTCTAACTACTCTTCAGAAGAAGAAAATACAGAAGAAAAGTGTTGTGTTTGCTCTAGGTTTCAACCAATAGAACTTAGAAATTGTATATCAGTTGTGTTTACTAAATGGGCTCAATGTGACTATCCAGAATGTGGTCATTGGACACACTTAAAGTATTGCTGTAAGCAGTCAGTAGTCAGACTCCATGATGAATTTATTTGCCCATGCCATGAAAACAGTTTTACAGAAGAGTAAGCTAATATGTAAGCTATTAGGATAGACCTATGAAGTGCCAATGTTGTTTTTTCTAAGATTGGGATATATTTTTGGACAGTCACTGTATACTAGTACTCTTTGTTATGAAGGTAGAAAAAGTATCGAAAACATGTAAATATTGCAAATGGCGACGTAGTTTGATAGGGACTATTAAAGTTTAAATGTTGGATTGATTAAATGTTATTTTGATTATAAAATCAGTCTTATTGAAGTTTAAATAGGCATAAATAAAAGGTTATCTTCTTGATTTATTTTTCGAGTTAGTTTTATTTACAAAATACTTAGTTAAAACCTTATGGTATCGAAAACCGGTCAAACCATGATAATAAAAAATACCAAGTCCTTATATCTAAATGATCAAGTGAACTTGAAAGTGCATTAATTAATAATAATAATAATAATAATAATAATAATAATAATAATTTATAAAAATTAAAAAAATAAATGAATGAATAAATAAAACGTGCACCCAAAAACTGAATTGTGAGTAATTTAATTATCTTATATTCACACTACCTTTCGTATCAATTAATAGGTATAAAATTCTATTTAAGATATAATTACTATTTTTGAATCAAGCACTTATTGAAAGAAATAATTAAACATATGTCAGGTGTCGTTCATATATAGACAATAACCTGATGTCAACAAGAAAGTATGTCAGCAGTACACTCACACACATATTCAGGAAAACACTCACACACATATTCAGGAGGAAAACACTTATATTTACATATTATATACAGCACATATAAAACACTTGATCTATAAATTAGCATTATATACATTAACTAACACTAAAACACTCGCATGCGCAAACGCAATTTAAAAAAAAAACATCATGCCTCAAATTTGATATTTAAAAAAAAATAGCATTCACTTATTCAAATAAATGATATTCATTCAAGAAGAATTCAATAGAGTTCAATAAATTTGTGAAATAAAAATATTTTACCCAAAGATGAGCGTAATATATATCGTAATTAAATACCTATAATAAATACACGTACATGAGATATGAGTGAATTAGTAAATAGTCTGATTCACAAGTTCAGATTTACAAATAGGGCTTTGAAAGAAATATATCTATAAACATAATGAATCATAATAAATTGACGCACACAAAACTGTAATGTAATAACTCCTTATAGATAGACAAAAACACAAAAAAAAATCATAGATGTAATAAACCTATCTTTAATTGAAGGGACAAGAAAAAACATAAAAAACATTATATCTATCTTTAAGTATGCTTTTGTTTATGGTACAAGAAAAAAAATTAAAAATTGCATTATATCTCAAATTCTATCTGTTATACAATTTTGTGATTTACGTTTCGCTAACTGGTCCCTCTTCTTTCGCTTGAAAAATCCACACTTGAAAAAATAAAATAAAAAACAAAATTTCTTATCAACTTAAATGTAAAAAAAATCGAACAGATAACAGCCGCGTCACGACAAAACCAACATAGTGCGTTTGCGACCAGCATGGATCAAGACCAGCCTGCGCATCCGCGCAGTCTGATCAGGATCCATGCTGTTTGCTATCAGTTTTTCTACTTGTAATAGGGTTGGTAAGCGAACAGCATGGATCCTGATCAGACTGCGCGGATCCGCGGGCTGGACTGGATCAATGCTGGTCGCAAACCCATTATGTTGGTTTTGTCATGGCACGGCTCAATTATCATCTTAAAGACAGCATTTATTTTAGTTCGATTGTGTACGAAAATATAAGCTTAAAGACATACTTTTGAATCCGTTCCTAGAACCAACCAAGGTTAAAGGTTATTAATAAATTTAATGAGCAGAAATTCAGATCTCAGGTATTTGATTGGTCAGAAACCAACACAAAATGAAAACATCACCAATAAAATCCCGAATTGAGACAGAACCTAAGAAAAAAATTTTATTACCTCGGGAGCCAGTAGTACAAAAGAAAAAAATAAAAAAAAAAGGGTTTTCCAAAAATTTCAAAATTTTTGAAATCGATTAAAAAATTTTTACGTTTAACCCTCCTTTTAAAACCCCTATCTTTTTAAAAAAAATAGGTTTTTTAAAAAAGTTTTTACAAAGCCTTTTTAAAAAAAAACAGAAAATTTTTTTTATAAAAATTATATACAAAAAAAAGCAATTTTCCTTTTCCCCAAAAGCAAGTACAAGCAATGCTATTTAGTAATTTAAAACCCCCCCCCTTCCCCTTTGCCCCAGGGAACCACCAGGGGAATCCGCCTTTGGGGAAGGGGCCCCCTTTTTCCCTATAAAGTTTCTCAGCTAAAAAAAAAAATTTTTTAAAGCTTAAATTTCCCTTTTTTAATTTTAACTATTTATTAGCCAAAAATAAAATTTTTTTTTCAACCCCATTTTTTTCCCCATCGAAGTGATAAAGTGGAAAAGCCCTTTGTTTTTTCTTTTTTCAGTACCTCAAACATTTATAAGCCAAAATACCACATTTAAAATTTTTTTTAAAAAGGATATAAAAGTGAAAAACAACGCTTTTCGATTATCGATTTTTTTAAGAAAAATGTTTTTCTAAATGTTATATCGGACAGTTTCTTAGTCTAAATTTCTAAAAAAAAATATTTGCCAGACATAGTTTATTGCAGTTATAAAAATGTTTTTCTTATAACTCAAGGATAAGAAAAAAATATTCATGAATTTTAAACACTGTGTGATTATCACTGTATTTTTCATTTTATAGTATGAGATATAATAAATAATGTTTACCTGCCGTGAGAACTCTGTCTGATTACTTATGAGATTAGTCTCGTTTATTTTGACAAAAGATGTAGATATGATCCCGCCATTGGACTTCCCCTTTCCTGTAATATTATGACAAAGATAGGGAATTTAAAATACATGCACCAAAGAAACCCCAAAAAGGATTTAAATTTAAATTTTTTTTTATTGAATTTTTAATTTATTTTTTAAATTAAATTTTTTTTAAATTTAATTTTTAATTTTTTTAATTTTTTTAGTAAAAAAATCCCCGTTTTAAAGACATTGCCCATGAATAAAGGACGCCAAAAAGAAAAGATCCGCCCCCCATATTGGTATTTCAATTTTATCCCTTATATGACGGCACAATGGAAAAAAAACCCCCTTTCAACGTGAAAAATTTTACTAAAAAAAAACATTTAACAAAAATTTGGGAAAAACGACGGGGCAGGGGTTTAAAAAATTTAAAAAATGCCCAAAATAAATTTTGACTTTTAATGATTATAAAAAATTGTTATTTTGAAAATCAAAAAAGTTTAAAAAAAAAAATAATTTAAAGATAATTTTTAATTACTCATAAAAATTGATATTATCTTCAAATCTTTCCCAAATTAAAAATAGTTCATGTATATAAATTTTCTCCCGGGCCTTTTTGGGTTGGTATTTGTTAATTTCACTTTAACATGGGAAAATTTTGTTCTCTGCAGTCCTACAAAAAAATTTTAAAAATACCCTGTCGCTCAAATTTAAATTTATTTACTTATTTTTTGGAACCAAAATTCCCCTTTTAAATGAAAGGATTAAAGTAATATTCCCCGTAAAAGTTTTTGTCAATTTAAAAACAGAACGCCTCGAGAGTCCTGGGGCCGTGGGTTTTAAAGAAATTTTTTACTCAAACCCCAAATCTCCGGGTTTTTTAAATTTGGTTTGAACGTGCAAAAAAATGTAATGACCAATTAAAACCTTTAGGGTTTGAGACAAAACCCCAGAAAAAAAATTTTTTATTACCTCGAGGGGGCCAAATCAATTTCTAAAATCCCTGAAAAAAATTACCAAAAAATTCCAAAATTTTTTTCAAAAATGAACAAAAAAAAAAAATTTAAACGGGTTAATTTGGGGACTGAAAAATTTCATTTTTTCATAAAAATTTCAAAAAAAATTATTTAAATTTAAAGACAGTCCTTATTTCATTGTAATGGGAAAAACATAGTGAAAAACCAAAATCAACCTTTTTTTTGATTTTTTTTTATTTTAAAAAAACCCAAACTGTGTATGGGCCCTTTTAAAAATAAAAAATTTTCCTTTTAAATTTTGAAACTTTTGGCTGGGTGGTTAAAATTAAAAAAAAAGGGTTTTTAATTAAAAATTTGCACCTTTGCTTAAATTAAATTAAAAATTTTGAAAAAAGGTTTTAAAAGTTTTTCCCCCCCTTTTTTTCATTTTTAACAAAATTTTCTGACATTTTCTTAAATTTCTGTTACTATTCCGAATAAATATCATTATCCGATACTATGTAATTCTAAATGACACATAGAGGCACTTGCTTCCGAAAGGAAAAAATGTTCGATTAATTATTGTGTATAGTTTTACGTATGCAAAATATTAAATCGAATATTAGTTTTTGCTTGTAAATTCAAGTGCCTATGACTACTGCCTATGACTGGATAAATATATATATACTTTATTATGGACGTCCGAAAACGTAGTAGATGGCTCTTCTGTCTGTGACACAAGTTGACCTTTAATGTACGAGTATATGACAGGAGTTGTATAGTCCTGTATAATGTTACATTTAACACCACAGTTCTTTTCACATCGTATCTGGAAATAATACAAGATTAAAGAATATAAAATATAAAACTTTTAATATTACATGATTTTGCTTGAGTTTTCTTTGGGGCCAAAAAAAGCTAAAGATTCCCCCTTTTGCTAAAATAAGAAAAACCCAAAACCCCGGGAAAAAAAATCTCCGAAAAATTAACCAAAAAAATCAAAAAGGCAAAATTTTTGTAAATCAAATTATTAATTTTTTTTATTAAATTTTTAAAATTAAAAACCCTTTTTATTTTTCATCTTTTTGTAAGGTTAAAAATTTTTAAAAAAATTAATGTAAAAATTTTCAATAGTTTTTAAAAATTATTTTTTAAAAAAAAAAAAGCTTTACATGTTTAAAAATTTCCCCAAAAAAATTCCTTTGGGTTTAATGTTATTAGTTAAAAAAAATCTTTTAAAAAACCCTGAAAAACCCCAATAAAATTACTACTTTGTGACTGATAAAAAGTGTGAATATAATGCATGTAAGTGCAATATCATTTTCATTAGGTGTTAAAATAAATTAAATGACATTTTAAAGCGAAGAATTAGTAGAGTATCTCATTCCTGTGTGGGTTCACGTGATTTATTTTTAAAACTAAAATGCCAAAATAAAATTTTAGTCATACTTCTGTACTGTTGAGATACAAAAGCGCCTTTCCAGAATGCTGTAACTGTGAAAATGAGATATTTATCTCGGCCGATGGCAAAACACTTGGTCCCCTGTTCTCTAAATCGTGTATGTTTTCCATGATGTATGTCTGTTTGTTTTCCTCCAAGTAAATAACTTCTTGCGATGATATACTATAAATGTAAATCAACATAATTTTGATTATATCGTTTTCTTGTTATCTGATAAATAAATTCCACTGTATCGATGCGAATTGTGTTTATTATCAATGACAGGTTCATTTGTCCATTTTCTTTCTAAAAAAAGTAGTTTGCATCAATAAGTCAAAAAATTCTCTTCATCCTTAATAAGCGATTCACATAACATATCTTTCGTAGTGGTTAAAATAACGTATATCCTTGTTTATACAATCGATACATATGTATATTTATTATCAATAACTCCGCTTTGGACAAAATAAAATATACTGAATCATTTATTCGGTAGGAGTTTATTTTAAACGATATACTATGAACAGGATAGAATTTCAGTGCGTTACATCAAAAAATGAATTAATATTACGATACAAATAAGCAAATTAAATGAACATTTTAATACATTTATAGCAGAATGACGAAAGAAATAACAAAAATAACAAAACAAAAATTATAAATAAATACATGTAACAGAAAAACACATACACAGTGTACGAAGCTTCTAAATTATGACGTAAGCTGATGGCAATAGTCTGGTTGTTATCCGCCGGATCTTTCTCTTCACTTATTGTTGTCACGTTCATGTATAAAGTTAACATAGGCGAAGAATCACTGAATGTTTCGGGCATACTAAGATACAATCGTAAACGATGCTCCGTATCATTTGACATCAGGTTTCCTAGAACACAAGACAAAAGCGATGTCTCGCCGTCATCCATTGGGTTAGTATCTGTCTCGTTGTTTGCATTGTCGACCAATACACATGAAATATCTTTTTCACCAAATATCTTTTCCATCTTCTTGTAGCCTATATACTTCGGGAATGCCATGTAGAACACGGAACCAAATGCAGAGTCGCCTTCTTTGAGGATCTGAACATCGACGGCAAGATCTCTGTCCCCAATTACAAAGAAACCATCGACGTCCGTATAGTTGGCTTCAGCAATGAGTGTGAGATTTGTTCTACATAAGTTATTTGGACAACCATTCCGGAACATCAACTGTCAATGGCAATGAAATGCATTTTTGTCAACAAAAGGAACGTAGTGTAAATACACAAGAAACGTTCGCATATATACAAAGAATCGCTTTACATTTTCCTTTTAACCTTTTTAATGATTGTGCAGAAGCAAAGGTTAAATGATAATAAGAACATTTCCCGTCTATCTTACAGTTCTCTATATTGCTCACACGGCCATTTTAATTTTTTTTTATAAAAGCTCTATATCAAAACACAACATAACCTTACTGTAACAAATTTTCAAAAAAGGTTTTCTGTCAAAAAGAACTATGATCATTAAACAAAATTACATAAACAAACTTTATTATTTGGAATAAATTTAATATGGCTTAAGTTACCTTTTTCTGGAGTTGGAGTTGAAGAGCAGTGGCACTTGGATTATTTCCGTCAAAACGATTTATTGTTGCCCCCACAGGCAAACCTGGACACACTATTTCATCAGCTACATATTCGGCCTGAACATCTATCTCACTAATTAGATCATGTGTTGACTAAAATAAACATATGATCAAATTGAAATAACATGTTAACATTTTTTGTTCTAAATCAAAAACATATTATTTTCATATTTGAAATTTAAAAAAAGAAAACACCAACAAAAAACTGATTATTACTATACAGTCCCTTTGAAATGTAAAGTAAACATCTTTTGAAAACATAAAGAGAAAACATTTCACGTTTTAAACTCTACACACTACAGGCAATTACAGTATGATGAGTAAAGGGTTAGTTAAGCTGCAGTAAAACATTCATATCCCTTGTTTGGATTCCATTACTTGTTTCAATAATTTTCATTCAATTACCTTTTCAAAGAATATTTTCAAGTTTGAACTTTTTATTTTTTAAGTCTAGCTCATATGACGAAATTACAAGATAGTTGAAGACAGCCTGCGGTGCTATCGGGTTTTTATATAAGTATCAATTTCAGAAATAAGCGGTCCCCTTGCGTGGCATGGAATGCTATCTTTCTAATTCTAACGTTTCTAAGAAAATGTGAGGAACAATTATTTTTATTCATGATAAAAATGTTTAAACACTGAGAAAAAAACTCTTAAGACGAAATAATCATAATAATAAAACAAGAAACCTTTGCTTGCATTTCCGCAAGTGGCGTGCATTTGACTTCACCACGTAACAGTCTCAGCACGCTGGAGATCGATGCCTCCTTGTTTGTTGCAAACTTTAATCTGGGTTGAGCGGAGTATCCTACGTCTAAACTGATGGCCACATTCAAAGCTCAAAACATAAAAGTAAATCAATACATTCACTTTTACTATCACAAAGAAAACCTTGAGAAGACCTTCCATAATACGGACAATGAGTGCTTTTAATTTTGGTAATTTTGACAACATTTAGAGTATCACTTTTAGCTTTGTCTTGCAGCTGCTGATTCATAACAATTGCCATATATCGCCGCCGGCAGAGACTGAATCAAGACACTGGATTCGAATCTAATCACGTGGTGCCTTGTCGAAATACAGCACCAAGAAAGCTTTATAAATGTTAGGTAGACAATAAAAGGACGTTGGAGCAAGAATTTATGTAACCCTTAAAAAGGGGAAAATTTAAGAACTGCACGGACGTTAATATCACATACATATCATTATTTCTTTTCTTAAATCGCCAACGGAAATAAGGTATGTGTAAAAAACTAAAACTTACTTATAGAACTACAACGACGATCAGTAAAGCTGAAACATGCACTTGCTGAACTTATTTTGTCCACAGCTAGTTCTATGAAGTCCGTTGCTATATTGTTATCGTCTACAACATTAAGCACACTGTTTACATTGATCACAGGTTGTCCAAACAACACGACAGCTTTTGCAGAAAGATAAGACCCAACTACCATATCTGAAAAATAAAAAGCCGCATCAGTTTATTTATGATTGTCTTTTGGAATTACTTTTATTGTTGTGTGTTTCGGTGTGTATTGTTTAGTTTTGTTTGTCAAAATTGTCTTTTGGGTTTTTCTTTTTATTGAGAACACAATGAATGGTTTCAGACTAAGTTAATAGGCATTGTTTTTGCTCTTTAGGCCATATCTGAGATATAAAAAGCTGCATAAATTTTTTTATGATTGTCTTTTTGAGACTGTTTATTTGTTGTGCTTTTGTTGTGTACATGTACTGTTTAGTTTTCTTCGTCCAAATAGTCTTTTGTTTTTTCTTCTTATTGAGCATACCATGTATGGTTTGCAGACTTAGTTATCAAATTTGGGGGTAAACTCTTATTTTATCAATTAATTTAATAGTGCTAAACATTATTTGCATAAGAACAGAAATCACACAGGCAAATCCAGTATAAAATGGAAAAAGGACTTGAATAAATCATTCGTTCACTTATTACGAAGGCAACTTTGTTTCCAGACCTTAACAAATGGTTAAGTGACTAGACAATTTTAATCATCAATCAATTTTACACATAAAGCAAGTCAGATATATCGAAATATCAAATGATAATTATAAAAATGTATGTTATAATCATAATTGTTTTAATCATCAAACATTTAATATAAGGGTTGCATTTAAGACTCTAAAATCTAAAGTCTTAAAAATATTTAAAAAAAAAATGGTTTTATTTATATGTGCTTCTATCATACAATACAATACAATACAATACAATACAATACATTACAATATATTACAATACAATACACTACAATAAAATACAATAAATACAAAACAAAACAATACAATGCAGTTAATTTGTTTCAGTTTATTTTTTTCAACATCTAACAACATTTCTAGGATAATACATTTACAGAAAACACAAACAATATGTTATATATAATATTTCAATAATATGCTTCACTTACCATTGACATCATCCGAATTGACATCATGATTTGATGAAATTGATATCCCAAATCCCCTTAACCCAGTGTCGATATCAGCAGACATTATCTTTTGTGAATATTCTGGCCAAACACCTTCTTTAAATCCATTATAGATATATACTGTTCCTCTGGAATCCTGCTCGTAGGGGGCTCCTATTGCGATATCTGTATTAAAACAAAAACCTTGATACAAAACATTGGCACTATCTCAGTTGTTCCGAGATGGCATAGACTCAGTTGCCACATGCGTACCTAAATGACGTTTCGTTTACACGCAATCTTCATGCATACCTAAATGACGTTTACACGAAATCTTCATATGACAGAAAACTGAATGAGCTCATGGATTCATATAAAATAGTAAACATACTTATTTATTATTTTAAAATGTGCGAGTATATGGACGCATGTTTCATTAAAATGACGTATTTTAGTTGAACTGTTTAATATCAAGTGTTTTGTACAAAAATATTATTGTAAAATCACTCTTTTTATATTGCTCAATATAGATGTAATGAATGTCATTCCAATACGATTCACAAGGACTATGATAACAAATGAATTTAAAACGGACCCGAGAAAGAATCAGAATTAATGTCGCCAAGATTTGCTATAGCACTTCCAAATCTTCCGTATGGCTGCTCTCCCTTTAAGATCTGATGGTTTGGTTTGAAAATCATTTTCTGAAAGTAAATCGTAAGAAAATGAAAACATTTGCTAGTAAACCTGCAGCCAAACTTTCATATTGTTTTCATTTTGCCTATATATTTAAAGTTATGCCCCTTCTTTACAAAGCAAAGTGCAAAACAATAAGTAACTAAATTGTGGACTTCTGGTTTATAAAGGCAACAATCACATTCAAACGACAAGGCCTTTGCTTTGCTACAACGATATGTTGTTTTTGTATTTGTCATCATTGAGACAAATAATTCCATAATTCTTTTACGTTATATATATATACAAACATTTGGTTTTTCAAAATTAATTCGATAAATATAAAAAAAAATATTCGCCGTAGTAGATCCAATATATTTCAAACAATACATCTCTGTACAAAAACGAGTTACTACAAGAAGTTTCTAAATTTTGAACTTGTTTATTGTGCCTTTTTAAGGCAACCAGTTAACGACAATGCTTTTGCTTTGCATCCTATAACTAAGTTTTAATCACCATTGAGATATATGAACCTTTTTACTTTTTATGTCTACATAAAGATTTAAATGTTTGTTTTCCAAAATTACTTGGATAAATAAAAAACAATATTCACCGTAGTAGACCCTAGGTAGACAAATACCATGCCTATTTCTATCCCCTCAGTGAAGATGTCGTTTGTTAAGGTACTATACATTGGCGCACCGACAAGCAGGTCATCTTTGTTGTCATTGTTAACATCCATTGTACACAATGTGGCTCCAAAATATGCATTTAATGGTAAATCCTGTAATATATTGTACAAAATGTGGCTCTAAATATTAATAAATGGTAAATCCTGTAATATATTGTACAAAATGTGGCTCGAAAATATGCATTTAATGGTAAATCCTGTAATATATTGTACAAAATGTGGCTCTAAATATTAATAAATGGTAAATCCTGTAATATATTGTACAAAATGTGGCTCGAAAATATGCATTTAATGGTAAATCCTGTAATATATTGTACAAAATGTGGCTCCAAAATATTAATTAATGGTAAATTGTTAGAACATTGTGTTTATGTGATTAACGTTTATTTCGATGAATAAGGAATATATTTTAATGATATCTCCCGTTTCGGTCAAGAATTCATCAAAAATCAATTTGTTGCCCATAACTTTGAAATATATACTGAATATACTCTCATGATAATATTTGCTGACTAAACTTCAGAATATTTTACGAAAACGGTAAATAAAACCCTCAAATCAGCCAATATGCTATTAAACATGCACATATCTTATATGTATATAAGGTATGCTGATTATCAGAAAATTATAAATATCGTGAAATGGAAACTTACAGCTTACTGAAAATACAAACATTTCAATAATTATTTTATATCTTTTGTTTTTTAATTAAATCACTGATTTTCTTTTGTACGTATTACGCATAATTATTTATTCGTGTCTGTAAATCGCAAAAAGAAAAAAAAAACAAAAAAAAAGAAAAAATTCTCTGAAATGATTGCAAGACAAATGATACATTCTTTGATTATGTTGCTTTTCTAAAATACAAACAAAATGGCTTGTCAATTATTTTCATTATTACAAAGTTTCAAAATTATTAGATACTATTTACCTTGCCAGATTCCATTCCTTTCAAGTTTATTAGAGCGTTCTGATAAACGTGCTTGTCCTCGTTAGCACTAAAAAATGTTATCTACAATATTGGTGTAAGTTATATTATTACACAGTTCATCTAAGCAAATACATAACATCAATCATTTACTTGCAAATCAGTTCAAATTATTAATGAATACACTACAAATATTATGATGATCTTGTGTTATAATAAATGTCGCGTTTTACATGTGTTGGGCTCCACAAATATGAATATTGGGAGACCAATACAGTTTGGGGGAAATTGGATGGAGTCTTGTGAGTGGTAACATCCACATCAAAACGAACATACAACGTCATAGGATACTTATCCTACAACTCTTTTTCAGATTTTCATGTTGGACATCCATTAAAGTGTCCAGTTTAGCTCTTTTTTATCTTTTCTATAACTTATGCAGTAGCGGATATACAACGTTTCACCGTGCTGAATACTAGTATTCAATCCGGAATATTACTTTTTCAATCCCTGTCCTGAAGATCGTTCAACACGACATTGCTGTTGTGTTTGTAGTATGTTAGTTCTATCATTTAATTTTTTCCTGGGGTAAAAATTCAAAAATATAGGGGAGAGGTGAGATAATACTGTAAACAAAGAAGAAAAAAGAGATAAAAATGGAATCAAAAGTGTCCCCATAATTTGATGTTACAATATTAAACTAGACATACATCTGAGGAAGATGTTGTAAAAATCCTCGCCAAGCAAAATTCTAACAAAAGGTAAAACAAGTAAAACACAGAAATATTTGTGTAGATACAAATAAAAAGTAAACCAAATGACTTTGACAAAAATACTCAATGCCTTAAAGGAAGTCAGAGCAGCAAGTATATCACCTACAAGGGCACGACTAAGCAAGGTAGAATACGAAAATTAAGATCAGTTCTAAGAGCTGTCCATCAAAGAGTCTTCCACTTGGCCCGTCAGATGTAATCAAAAGAGTAACGCGCAGCGTCCAACTGTAAAGAGTTGCACACTAAGCATGCAGAATGCCTTAAAATAGTAGGGTCACAACCTCTTTTAATAAAACGTTTAATTATTCAAGGAAAGTCAGCCGAAAAAGTCCAATGACCCAAGATCTTACAAAGTTTGTAAATCGTATCTCCATAGAAATCAGGGTTGCTTATCCCTAGTCGCCGAGTTTTCAAATCGAAATTACGACAATATTTCCGTAATTTGTTCTATTTGAGAAGTTTGCTAGTTTGAAGCTTAAATTGACATTTATTTTCAAAAGTTTAACAGCAGAAGGATGGACACTGATATAAAAGAAAAGATTTGGAATGTTTTGGTAAAGAAAACGTCTGGAAACACGTAACATGAATGCAAGTACAACATGTCTAGACGACGTTCACGCTTAATAAATGATACTTTGTCAAGGTAAGATGAAGGTTCTACAAATACAAATGCTAATTCTGCGGTAGACATGTTCAAAATGTTAAGAGATTTATGCATGTATAAATTTTGTTGGATGCCTTCCGTAAATGGTCAGGACTACTTAGAGAAGCTAGACATTTCCATTATTGATGCGCTCTTGCGATTCCTGGGCGATGCACAAGATGGATCCATGTCAAAAAACACAAAAAAAATCTGCAAGGAATGCGGCATTCGATAAACGCATCCCTAACTTCGGACACCAGCAAGACACGTTTGGAATATTCAGAGAGCAGGAACGAAATATGTTGTTTGTGTCTTTTTGCTCACAGACTGACTGGTTATGGAATATAATATATGAAAACAACATCATCAAGGAAGGGCGTTAAACCTTCTGTTTGAAGAGGAAAGACAGGGTCTCAGGAGCTCTCTGATAAGAATGAAAAATGAACATCTATTGCACAAATCATATAATCACCAGTCTAGCAATTTCTGTCGCATCCACACACAATAGAGTCCATCTTTAATTGCAGCTGTGGGTAAGAAACAACAAACGACAAAGTTTGGCTTAAAGTGTATTAAAGCACCTTCCTGTAAAAGCCATTCCAAAACCAGCGACTATTTCCTGATATAGCATTTCAGACCAGATGTGACTCTTAGCGCTATTCATGATGCCACAAGCAAAGACTGGAATGTGGACCATGTAAAGACATCTTGCGCTCAAAGTATATAACTTTGTCCGAACCCTTTTTTGTACAAATCATTAGTATTTATCTATTTAGATTTCTGACATATATGATGAATGTCACTTTGATGTATACATCATTTCAAGCTAGCATCTTACTTAGAATATTGAGATAGATAAGGGTTATTATGTCAGGACAGTATCATTTTGTTAAGATAGTGTCAATATCTTTAATATGCCTTGATGTCATTTTTTGTTTATTGAAATTTTCAAAAATAGTGGCGCTATGGTTATGACTTATTCGATCTATTTGCGTGACAAAATTTAATGATATTGCTTTAAGATGATTACTGAATATTTAACCTTTTATGTTACATTCTTGACGACAGATTCCAAATCACTAATGTTCAATAAGCATACATTAACAAAAGCTTACTTGTTAAAGTGAAAAAAGATCCCATCATTAATTTCTATTAATAATTTGATAGAAGTTAGATTCTATAGCCTTAGACCAATTTATATAGAAAATTTGTCGAGAATAAGTAATTAAAGACATTTATATTACTTCCATGCAAATTAGACCAATTGTGCCATTTTTATATGACAGCAACTTTTTACATGTTTTACAACACGTCATTAATGAAAATAAAAATGGTACAAAACAAAACATTTGCGAGTTATCTTATATTATTATGGCTCCATATACAAATATCGGAAGACAATAATGTGACGAAATGTATGATGTCATGTTTGACTTACCGCGCCTTTCATATCATCCCTTGGAGCGCCAAATACAAAATATGTCTTTCCGTCTGAGAAATACTTTCCGCTAGTTGATGCATAACCTAACAAGATATATCAAATAGTTGTAAGACGCTTATTACAAAAGAATATACTAAAATACTAAACGGAGGGAGTAGAGTGGCCCAATTTCAGCTGTAATTTAACCAGGTTTTCAAAATCCTGGTTATTAGGCTTTAATAAGGTGGGCGGGCGTCAAACAAATTGGTTTCCGGTCAATAACTTAATTGACTTATCTTAATGAAACTTGGTATATAGAAAGCTTATGAAAAAACCTCGATTGAGATTGCTTTTGGTTCCAATTAGGTCAAGGTCACTGATTCTTAAACTAGAAAATCGGTTTCCAGTAAATAACTATAGTTAAATTAAAATGAGATATTTTAGGGAAACTAAGTGCAGAGCAAGCTTATGTAATGACCTCGCTTAGGATTGCTTTCATGCCTCTAGGGTCAAGGTCATAGTCACTGTTACTAAAAATAGAAAATCGGTTTTAAATTTATTTCTTTGAACACTTCACAATATTTTGATTTTAAAAAACATTTTTATAATTGTCATGAAAATAATAATAAATGTGGAAGCATTCTGCTTTAAATCAGTTGCCATTGGCTAAGACATTCGGGTTTTTAACGACAACTGATGTAAGATCATAAGATGTGAATATTAGGATATAGAACAACATGATATAATATGGCTTACCTAGATATGGTCGGGTTATATCTGTGCTCGTTATTTTATTATCCATGTATTTTGTATCTCCGTTTCCCAAATCAACAAATCCACCAGTCCAGTCCAAAAATCCTGTAGCGCCCATAAGCAGGTTCTTTCCATTCTGTGAGAAGATTTATATAATCGTGGGAGAAAATGTGTATATTTTTAAAAGTTTCTTGATTTGACAGAAACAATTACTTTTCTCAATTATTCTTTCTTTCAAAGTATTTTGACGCAGGATTTTGTATGCAAAATATGAGCAGTTTATGATGTTTAATGTTGTTTAATACTGACTCGGGGAATGTTTATGTTTTTTAGATTTTGTTAAGTACTTTCTAGGTGAGTATAAGATTTGTATCAATCCATATGCATTTATCATTTCTTTTAGAGGGTAATATTTCTCTTCTCGCCGCTAAAAGATAGTCATACAAAAAACTTCGGATACATATACCTTTTTAAATTCTCAGATAAGTTATTTTCTTACCGGCGGATGATAAGCTTAAGACATACTTTTTTATCATTAGATTATTACCACTTAGATTATTACCTCTTAGATTTTTACCACTTCGATTATTAACACATTGATAATCTTAGATTATTACCACATTATCTGACTACTTATAAAGTTGTGTTACTTTAAATAAGGCATGTGATTAAACACATGGTATGGTGCGTATTTCAGTGTTTCCCATAATTAAACCGCGTCTATGTTTTTTAACCCCATGTGTGTACAAATGTATTTATATATTTTTCTATACCTATTGTGGGATACAGTAAAACAATTGCAGAGCAACACACTCTTTATAAGGCAACAATTTTAGTTGTTGCTTATAAGTGTTGTTCTAAAAAGGTTATACTTATTTTGGAGGAGTCTGTTTTATGGAAAGATTTGAAACAATTATTGCAAATACATGTAGCTAGTTTTTGTTATACAAAGGGTTGCTAAGAAACGGCTGCACCTGTATTTTTATTTTCAATTATTTACTGATCTTACCCGTGCGTAGTGAACAGATATTCCAAGTCCGGCCAATCCGAAATGCCATCTGTAATTGTTGGTGTTTGTGATTCTTTTATATATTCTACCTTCTGGTGTTGTGACGGGCACCTTTCTCACATTAGCCATGTTTAAATCTAAAGGAACTTCGTAACAAAACCCGGTCATATACAGAATGTCTCTTGAGTCGAGATCTATCTCATTCGTCCATTTGTGTGCGCATGTCTGAAATACAGTATTCAGTAAAGACTTAGCTATATAACGTTACCCCTAAATGCGAAGAACATGAGAGGGGAACCAGTACGTATATTAGTGATATCACTGATTAAGACGTGGAAATGATCATGTGACAATCATTTATTCTAATGTTATTGGACAAAAAGGTTATGTAAATGCAATATGTAAGTCATTTATCATAAAGGAAACGTAAGGTAAACATATTATTATATCGCCAATATACAACATGTGTTTTCACTTACGGGGATAGGATAAATTTCAAAAACAACAACAAAAAAGGCAACAACCTCCCCCCCCCCCCCCCAAAAAAAAAAAAAAAAAAAAAAAAACAACAACAAAAAACAAAAACAAAAAAAACAAACAAACACAAAAAACAACATAAAACGCTTTCCTCTTCTTTCACGTTTTTCCCCTTAAATTTTAGAATCTTTATTAACTAGACTAGAAAGGCCTATAAATGCATCGCATCTTTTGATAAGATTTAATCGCCAGTGAGTTTTAGTTTGTCGGCTGGTCCAGTATTTCCTTATTCTTTCAAAATATCAATTTAACACTGATTTACTGTTATAGATACGAATAATCAGATAAAGTCTTGAACTATACTTACAGCAAACACGTCAGCCGAACCGGAAGTCAGGACATCGAGTGACCCTCCAAGCCACGAGTGGTCCCTTCCGGGATTATAATTGTAACTTTTGCCTTCCAAGGTATAACTTTCTGCATCCATGTTCTCTTATTTTAGAAAAGACATAAATGTTTTTAAAAAAACAACATTTAATTGCAATACGTTTTTTATTTTCTAGATAAGTCTTAAAGTTGCATGCCACCAGATGAGCCAAACTATTTCAAGTGAATCAAATTTGAGAGTAATGTTCTGAAATTTTAAGAAAATAAAAAATTCCGAGATTAAAGTAATAATCTATATGTTATGTGCAATTTATGACTGATTTTTTTCACTGCCATTACAATATTTCTACTGCATAACTAACGCAGTGTTAATGATTTGACCTTCCTTTGGTAATTTTCGTGAATTGTAAATGCCGTTTTCAATCTTTTGTTCACTTCACAATATTTTACATTTAGATATATTTTCAAAATTTTCATGAGAAATATATATTGAATCTGGTTGCGTGCTGATCTAATTGTAAAATAAGGACTGTTCTAAGTTTAATCTGGCCGTAAGAATCTTATATGTTCCTGATACAGACGACTATTCTTAATATGGAAAGAAAGTATATGATAACTAAAAAGATATCAAAGTATATACCGTCGATGTTGAGCTTCGTGCAGGTGGACTTGCCTTGCGAAGGAAATGTACAGGCAAACACAACACCCGGCCTCGGTACCTGCTGCAACAATGGGTCATTACTACGTGGTGCCCCAACTAATATCCTACAAAAAATATTTGAATCATTTTTTATTCAACATGAAGTTCCGAAGATGAGTTCAGATTTACTTTTTATTACATTTATTGTTTTTCTATTTCCGCTGTTGTTTTCTCTGTGGGAGCGTGCGTGTGTGTGCGCGTGTGTGTGCGTGTGATAATATATTTCTTAAGATCTTCATATCTTTCGCAACTCTTTTTATTAAATAACTTAAAGTTATTTTTTTAAATACTCTCTCGATAAAATTAATTAGATATGAAATTATTCTTTTAACATTTTCCAAACGAATATCTATCTACCTGACAATAGGAAGTTCTGTATAAAAAGCGGGGCACAGATACACATTTAACAGATATTTTTACCGAATAGTTTCTATTGTATAATGACCATGTATTTTCAACGTATTATATTTACCAGCGATTTGCAGAACTCTGGTCACCAGCAATCCCTACAGAGTATCCAAAATGGTTGTCCGAGTCAGCGTACCCTTCCAATGTCACGGTGTCTCCAGTTTCAATATTAAATCCATAAGCAGTATAAGCCATTAACGTCCACAGAAAAAACAACAAAGTATCTAAAAGTTTCATAATTACACTTGTAACTGTTTTTTTTTTTTTTTTTAAATTAAATCTCTATTATTCCTGACTGCTACATACATTCATATCTTCCAAACACATTTCTTGGTTTACAAAAATCAGACAATGATGCACGGAAGTTGAAGATGAAAAATATTTTAAGGCGGCATGGACTCGTGATGAAGGGTGGCAATGAGGAAGCTACACAAGTTAAGTCATAAGTGACTTCCTATACATTGATAGAGATATCGATGTATTGATTATCGCTTCCTTATTGATGGATAATGTCCATTCTTTACAACATTTAAAAATAAACTATGCTTATCTTTGAGTAAAAAACAACTTATTGCAATTATTATTGAAAATCTATGAAATCCTTACTGAATATGTAATATTTAGATAAAACAACGTACAAACTATGTGTCGGAATCTGTGTTTCGTATTACGAGTCAGAAGCATGAACGTGTCTGGTAACAAGTACAGATAATTGAAAGTTTTGATGTTTAAACACATGTGCAAGGTTGATAAAAATATTTTCCGACTTCTGAAAATATTGCCAACGAATGTTTTATAATCTTATATCCGACCAAACCTGACTAGATAAATTATCAACCTGTTCTGACAATTAAAGCACCTTATAAGTGTTTAAAGCTATATATCTGCGATTAAAATTACAAAAAAAAAATTGTTAGAGTAATAAATAAATAAATAAAAAAATATAAATATAAAATGATGCATAAAAGAAACCATTCTTAAAATTTCAGAAAAGAATTTTTTCCGGAACATTTTATTCTGTTTACGTACAATATCCATGCACTATGTTAAGGATGTTTTCGGGAGTTTTCATATAGACATATAGGCAAAATTAGAACTGTTCTATAGAATTTCCTTAAACTTGGCATGTTGTTAGAATATGATAACAGAAACATTTTAAGCGAAAAGAAATTGGATTACCGTTCTCGATTTTTAGTTATCTGCACCTGAATGAGAATTTTCAACTTATTTGAGGTCATTTAAAGGGTAGATAACTTATACATTCGTAAATGAATTCTTGTTTTTACTTCTGGATAATGTTTTTCTTTTTATTGTTGAATATCTTACATAATTACATGCAATTCCTTATATCGTTTCTGTTAATTTTGTTTTCAGTTAAAATAAAGGTACATGTACTTTTAATTCATAACAAATAGGCCATTTTTTTAAGAAAAAATGCACAGGTTGAGAGAAAAAGTGAGAATAAAAACCTATCCACTCTTAATTTGTTCTTGAAATTTTGAATGTCTATATGAAAACTCCGGAAAACGTCTTTAGGACTCTTAAGAATCGACCATATAATTTAAATGTTGATAAACTGTATAAAGATATTACATAAGATATAGCTTATGAAATAAAAAAATAATCTTGAAAAGTCGAAAGCTCGAAGGGACGAAGACAAAAACACGAAGGACGAAGAAGAAAACGCGAACGACGAAGACAAACGCGAAAAACACCTATGGGCGAAAACACAAAAACTAAAAAGTATGGTGACGAAAACGCGAAAGAACGATGACGAAAACACGAAACTCGGGAAAGTCAATTCGATAAATCATAGGCGATGGCCCTAACGGAAGACTGTACTTAAAACTCTTTTAACAACAATTGTAAAAAAATATGGAAAAATCAAGTGTATGAATGAAGAATTGTGTTGATGCTTTAACGCTTACCCCCACTTGAACTTTTCACCAGTATAGAGTCAGGCTAGTCTGCCCAGCCGTGTTCCGTGCAGTCTGGTCAAACTTTATCATTGATTGCAGCACTATTAAGTGTTGAGAATTGAGTACCGCGCAAACTGGTGCAAGTGGGCGTGAGGGCTGTTGCACTTATCTATTATCACTCATGTACAGGCTCAATCAAACCGAGTCTGCAATTTTCATGTAATTTTGTTGTGATTAATGCTTCCGAGGGATCACTTTGTTTCCAGATTTTCATACTTCACAACAGCAGGTGTCATGTGCTGTGTGGCGGCTGTTAAAAGTTGCCCCGTACTTCACTTCAGTGTTGTTATATTTTTCTGGTCTTTCGGGATCATTGATTGCAGCACTATTAAGTGTTGAGAATTGAGTACTGCTCAAGCCGGTGCTAGGAGGCGTGAGGGCTGTTGCACTAATCCATTATCCCCCATGTACAGACTCAATTAAATCGAGGGTGCAATTGTCATTTAATCGTGTTATGATTAATGCTTCCGAGGGATCACTTTGTTTCCAGATTTTTATACTGTTAGCTGACAAAGTTCCAAAAATCTCCAAAACAAGTAAAAACGGTTCAGAACTGTTAACTATTTATGTGAGAAGATGTGTAAGCGGTCGGATAGCTCAGTCAGTAGACCCGCTATTCCAACGGTATTCCAAGAGTCCCGAGTTCGAGTCCCTGTCTGACTGAACATTTTTCTCACCCTGTGAAATTTGGCGCTCAACGTGGGACCGCGGACTGTATCAAGCTTAGAGTTTAATTAGCATTGCTCTGTAACCTAGTAAAGCGGATTGTGGCCGGGGGGGGGGGGGGGTTGTGGTGGTGGTGGTCGTCTCGCTTTTTCGAGAAGAAGATGTGTAAGCTTCCTGATAGCTCAGTCGGTAGCTGCAGAACGGTATTCCGGGGTCCCGGGTTCGAGTCCCGTTCAGACTGCACATTCTTCTCAGGCTGTGTCATATAGTACTCCCCACGGGTATCGTGTCCTTGCCCATTCCGATGTTATCTGAAAATTTGTTTCTTTACACATTGAATGCCACCAAATATTGTTTCCATCATTAAAGTGAAATTTGAAGTGCTGCTTTTTGTGAATTTGGATAGAAATTGTTAGAAATTTTTTCATTTCCAATAAATTCTGTGATTGATAGGAAAATCCAAAGCTGCCTCTGTGTCCTGAAAAAACTTCTTTATTTCACCTTTTATTTAACGGTTAAACTTATAATTTCTGTTACAAAAAAATATACTGAAGCCAAAAAGGGCCATCAAAAAAAGGACCGACCATAGATGTTTCTAATTAAAATCATTGAGTTATTCTATGAATGACATGTGTATTTTAAAGTCAAGATGCGACAGCTTATCCCAATTCAAAAAAAAAGTAAATATAAGTTCTTTTATTTGTACAATGGTACCATAGGGGACCATCCTACCAAGTCAATGTATACGTTATGTGTAATATACGTCTTAACAGTGAATGTAAGAGGTAAAAATATAAGCGATTGGCCCAAAAACATAAATATATAATTTTTACACATTGATGTCGGTGTATCATTATGAAAATATACGATAATTTACTGATGTTGCCGATAAACCATCCCGGTCTGATTTGTTCACGCCAGCCTGACTAAGTTATAAAATTACTAAATACTACAAGTTAGTCACCTGATAGTCATATCATATCATCAGGTAAATATAATTTAATAATTCAACTGTAACAGCTACAGGCTATGTGTATCGTGCCACTAAATCACATGCCGGGCATGTACGCGTATATAATAACACTGTCCTACTTTGCAAGTATACGCATCATCTGGATCAGATTTGATGACTTGACCCACAATACATTTGATTGGTAAAATTGATTTCCGGTTAAGCTGGCACGGCAAAAATGGCACAATGACTAAAATAAAGAAGGTCGCAAAAAAAATTCACCTTATACACCGGCAGTCTACGTGAATATGCAATAAGTGTTGAAAAAAGCGTGTTGTTTTTGTTGTTGTTGTTTCTTTCTTTCTTCCTTCCTTCCTTCCTTTCTTCCTTTCTTTCCTTCTTTCTTTCTTTCTCATTGTAAATTTGAGCTGAATTGACTATATGTTTCAAAGGATTGACTGTTATTATGGTGATTGACTAAAACTTATTAGACTAAAAATAAAATTTTGCTTAAAATATAAAAAGACTGTCCCTCTTTTTTTTTTATAAATTGCTCATTACAGGTAAATTCCAATGGATATTAACAGAATTTCTATTTGGCTGTTATTTATCGTTCAGTAAATTATAAAATTGAGAGCTATTATTGCAAAATATTAACTTATTTTGACTTTTACTTGTTCACTCAGTATAATAATACCCTTGGATGGGCATAATGTCACTTTTAACTACACATTGGCACTGTGAATGTAATAATTATGGTGAGTTTTCCAGCTAAACAACAAAACGAAGAGCCCCATGATAGCTCCTACATGCATTACCACCGACTGCTACTAATATCTGTTGAATTTTATAATCAATCGATGACACAATTTAAAATATAATTCAACATTAATGCAAAAAATGTTGCTTAAACATATTTAAGAATCAAAGATATAACGCTTTCTTCCGAAATGACTGACATTTCACTCAGATTACCCACTTCACAATAAACAAGTGTCAAACAAGAGATGCTATTGTACTGAATATGTATAAAGTTGTTCTCATTTGCCAATCGGAAGTAATTCATCGAGTAAATATTTCATTTTCCGCTCCGCATGCTTAAAGGTAGAACGCGTACATTTATTTTGTTATTTTGTTACCGATACAATGACCTTTAAACTAAATAAACTTTGAACCTATCCTTCTAATGACTTAACAAAATTAAACTATGAGAAATAAGCGGTGATAAAGAACAACGATTGTTTGAAATTACGTATTCGCTAAATTAAATTTACAATATCACATTATTCAAAGTTATAACGTGATATAACAAATTTGAGGCACTGAATTAAAGTGCAATAAAATGTTATTTTAAAGGCACATTATTCCTCAGAAATCCATTTTTATTTAACTATCTTTAGAAATGTCAAACATGTGCTTAATAATGTTTCAATAATGAATATACAGCATGTAACATGTAGCATGTGACCGAAAAAAGTAGCGCTAAATATGCAGTGATTTGTCGTAAAGGAAGCAAAATGTAAATAAAGTTGTATTTTGACTTTCATATAAAATACTAATTCATTATGATATGCAAATTGCCAACAGAGCTAAAGATGCAAAGTTTATGTGTATAGCCAATTAGTTTATTTTTGGAAACTGTAAAAATGTACTTAAAATAAAAGTTTTTGAAAAACAGACCCGATTAGAGCTCGAACCAATGCTCCATAGGTTGAGAGGCAGACACCTTAACCACTAGACCAAGATCATCCGGAACATATTTAAACATCATCTGAAAATGTCTAGAACCTGAGATGTTATTCACGAACCCGGTCTTAATTAATTAAAGAAAAAAACATGTAGATACATGTAGTACTAGTGCAGTTGTACTTTCAGTTATCCGGAAAACATGTGGTGGTATTTCATGTTTATAAAGCACATGGTATTTTCATTCAGGGATGGCCTTTTTTATATTTTTCTTCTAGATATTGTCTCAACAATAAAGAGGAGTGTCGGCATGCCCGAGTGGTTCACGCGTCGGACTAGTAATCTTAGGATTGGGGCTGGCTGCGTGGGTTTAAATCCCGTTGTTTCATTGAGCAACAAACTTTACACTCATTGCTTAGTACTGGTTGGTTCCAGGAATTGATTCGCGAGTGTTTCAATAAGCTTATAGATTGCAGCACATTTGAACTTAAATAAAATCTTACAGAAACAATGACCTTATAAAATCCTTTGATGTCAAAGCGCGTAGCTTAAATAACAAGAGTACCTTTAATGAAGCCATTGTTCAGTAGCAAAGTGTATAATTTTCCTAACATGCACTGTTCAACATCTTTGAGTGGTTTTTGATAATGTTATACAATAACAAAAGTGTTACTTAAATCAAATTTCGCTTAATGGTATACTTGATCATTCAATCTTGATTGTTGTTTTTTAGATAGACGCGCTTTAATGATTAGGAAATACCGGTACTTATAAAGTATGTATCGTAACTTCTTTTTAAAAAAAATAAATATAAACTCTAATGTTATACATCATTGACTCATCGCTTTAAGAAAAACCAAGCGTCTGACCCATTTGATCAAATCTTTTTTTTTTATTCATTGATTGAAAAAACAACAAACAAACGACGAAAGAAAAAAACTAGAGTGAAAATTATGAAGAAATATGCTAAATTGGATACATCAAGTTGTACGGTGATTTTCGTATTAGTTTGGAGTTTCGTTTTTCTTGTAACTCGTGGATTTAATATAGATATAGAAGATGCCGTGACATTAAATGGACTGTCGGATCCTGGAAGTTATTTCGGATACTCCGTCGGGATAAGCCACAGTGACGAACATAAATGGTAACTTTTCTTATTTTTTTTCCTTTGTATTTAACTATTACTGAATAAACATATAAGAGAGAGTACAGGACTTAGCTATTCTATGATCTTGAAACACGATATAAAATTAACACGATTTTCCCTTTCTAAATTCTGAAAGAGAAACCACGTTTTAATTCTTTTGAAACTTTTCCTTTTTGGACAATAAGTTAACTAATAGAAAGAGCACCGAAACACGAGGCTATCTGATTTGTACGACGGGGCCTAGCCCCCGAGTATAAATCAGATTGCCGAGTGTTTTGGTGTTCTTTCTCTTTTGTATCATAGTCAAACATGACAGCACGTATCCTGTTCTCATAATATGAAACCCTAGAAAAAAATAACCAATGAACGAGCATTTGAATGTGATATTTCTGCCCCTTTCCCTTTCTCTGCCGTCACAATAAGTAAAATAAGTAAACCCCAGCAAAAATGAACCAATCAACGGGCATAATCTGGAGTGCGGGTAACTAATACCTGCACTCCAGTTACCGCACTGTGCATGTATATGTATACGATTTAACTCTTTAACACTTTTTCAACAGAAAGGTCCCCAAACTATGATACAACGTGAAAGAGGAATATTAATACTTTTCGTATTTTAATTTATCTCTCTTTTATCTTATGTCAGTTAAATATTTGATGTGTTTACAGGCTCAGAACCAATTTTGGTTGCTCCTGGTTGTCTAACTTTTTGTTGTCAGTTTAGAATTATACCGGATTGTTATTGTAGCATTCTATGAAATCAAAAATCCGTTTATAAGCAAGTGTTCTGTTATCTTATTTCCGGTTAAACTGTAATATGCAGCTATGACTTTAAATGTTTGAGAGTTACATTTTATATCTGGGAGGCCACGGTTTCAATCTTTGGTCGGGTTATGCGCAATATAATAGTAATGATAATAATAATAATAATAATAATAATAATAATAATAATAATAATAATAATACAACAACTACTACTACTACTACTACTACTACTACTACTACTACTACTACTACTACTACTACTACCACTACTACTACTACTACTACTACTACTACTACTATTAATAATAATAATAATAATGGTAATAATAATGATGAAAATAATGATGATGATGATGAGGATGATAATAATAATGATGATGATGACTTTCGGGGCGAAGACATGACGACACGATACCAGATTTATGTATCACTTAATGAAGTTATGATAAATAATGTGTGTGCAAAATTTAATATCATTAGCTTTCCGTTTTAGTTATCCCGGATGAGCTTAGTTACTCGTGGCCAAGACATAGTATCTGGAGCGCACGTCTTAATTATCTTGTAGCCACGGATTAGTAAATCGTGACCACCACATAGTATCTCAAGCGCAATTATTAATTATCTCGTGGCTACGACTTAGTAAATCGTGGCCACCACATATTATCTCGAGCGCACGTCATAAGTATCTAGTGGCCACGGCTTAGTTAATCGTGGCCACCACATATTATCTCGAGCGCAATTATTAATTATCTCGTGGCTACGACTAAGTAAATCGTGGCCACCACATATTATCTCGAGCGCACGTCTTAATTATCTCTTGGCCACGGCTTAGTAAATCGTGCGCACCACATAGTATTTCGTGCGCACTATTTAAGTTTCTCGTGGCCACGACTCCACGACTAAGTAACTCGTGGTGACCACACGTGCGCACGAGATAACTAAAAACACACACATGTCACATTTGTGCCACCGTAAAAATGTCTTAAAGTCTCACTAAAAGTAGCCTTATTTTATGTATTTATTTCCATTTTCGAAGCTGTTTCGCTGAGGTTTTACAAATGTGGTATGTGGTATACCAGAAGAGTACATTTCTAAGATGAAACAACAACTTATAAGGGCCAAAAACAATATAAACAAAGTCAACAGCAAACATTCATATGAAAACATAAATGTATTACCACACACATTACTTAGTTTAAATGCCCTTTTTTGGTCGATCTTATAAAAGTACATTGTACTCAATGGATCCCAAAATTCATTCGGTCATTTACATGTACCATAAAAAGTAACCGGTGTTCCGAGTCATTAAAGGAAGAGAAAATATGATATAATTTTTTTATCTAATCGAAATTCTAATTTCTTTTGGTCATGCGATAAAACATTAATAGTTATAGTATATCGAACACGACTGTTATGTTGAAATATCATAGCCTGGGGTTGCATCTCGGCTTTTCTCTACAGAAAATATTCTCAAATTCAATCCATCATTTTCTTTAGAGAAAGACCCTCGATGTCGCCCAATCCATAATGCTATCATTGTTACATGTTTCTGCCTCTTTATCAATCACACGTAATCCATTATAATGTGTAGTATGCTTTAAGCTTCAATATTTGTTGGAGGCGGTAAAAGGGATCCCACTGATGAAAGGACTGAAAGTACTTTTTGAAGCTTATACCATTTGATATAGATCTGAATAAATAACTTACTCCGTTTTCACAAAATACTCATTTTTGTTATGCAAAATGACAACAAAATGAAAATCGTTGCAACAAAAGAGCAACCAAGTTTCTTTGTCAACTACGACCTAGCCATGTAAAAATGTGTTAACAACTTACTTTAAGGAATGAATACTTTAAATTTTCCTTTTAACTTGATCCATAATACGTTATGCCATGTCATACAATATCAAATTACGTCAAGTTACCAAAGTTACGTCACAGTTTGCCAGGCTACGTTACCTTTGTGATAATAAATTTTGGATCTATCACAAATCAGTGACACTGGTTTTGTACGAATTGTTATACTCTTTTGTAGGATTCTAGTTGGAGCCCCAAGAAGCAATGATTCGTCATTGCCGGATGTGCCAAAGCCCGGTGCTGTGTTTGCCTGCACATTTCCTGACCAAGGCGACTCCACATGCAATAAATTGGATATTGATGGTAGATAGGTTTCTTTCATGTTTGTTAAGATAAAACGGATTGTTCATGGTTAACTTTAGATATGCTACTTGTATTTAAGGACACTATTTCACTTATGCATCTAAATTGTATGATACTACATTCCGCAATTTATTTATTTTTTAATTTAAAGGGGAACAACTCATACACCGAAAGTAGCGATAATACTTCAGCAATGGTTATTTCCCTCATCTATCCAAAAGATGCTAATGACACGATATGATGTGAATAACTTTAAGAACTGTAAAGCTGTATTAGTCATATTCACTAAAAAAAATTACTCAAAGATGAAAATGGTATATCTTTTTTTGTCATTTCTCAGAAACACCAGGTTTGGACACAGTGAGATTCGAGGACAGTCCCGTATACCTCAAACATGGCCGGAACCACTCATGGCTCGGAGGATCCCTCGAGGTTATGACATCCGGCTCTTCAAAAGTGTTTGCAGTAAGAGTTTTTAATATTCATTATGGTTTTTCATAAGGTATCGAGAAGTTAGAACTGCCATCGAATATCGATTATCGAATTTCTGTTTATATCGAATTTCGAGCTAGCTTTGAACTTCGAGCCAGATCGATGATCGAAATTCAATAATTTCGAGTGTACTTTAATTTCGATTGTCGAGCAGCTGGCTTGAAAATCAGCTCCAGCTCGAAATTCGGCCTTCGCAAATTGTGAATTTCGATCTTCGAACTGTCTCGAAATTCAACTCAAGCTCGAAGTTTTGTTTTTTTGGTTTACTTTGTATCTTGATCTTCGAGCTGTCTGGAAATTTAAAGCTTTTCAATTAAGAGTCTATCTAAGTGATTTAGTTATACCCAATTTTATACACACGCGCACGCACATGCTCACCGCAAAACAAGTAAGCACGCACGCACACGCACGCGTGCACATACACACATATCCTACGCACGTTAACTAAACACGTATTTGTAATAATCAACCGAAGAGAGAAGAACAACAGAAATTATTCTTTATTTTAAAATTAGACAATCTATATCTAGAATAGTTTAGGTTCAATGTGAGTTTTTTTTCAATATTGCAGACTTGTGCGTTCAGATGGTACAACACTTATTATGAGCAAGTGAGAGCACAAGTTTACAATCAAGGACTTTGCTATGAAGTTCCTCTAGATCTAAACATGGCTAATGTTAAAAAGATACCGGCTCTTACAAAGGACTCGTTAAGGACCATAGAGTTGTCGGGGTCCAATAAAAGTGTGTGGTTATACGGACAGGGTCAGCTTGGAATGTCTATCCACTACACAAAGGTATTAATTCGTTGTGATTAAATATTTAATATTTTTCCTTATACTAGCTTAATATTACATTGTAATAATAGTTTACATTTCCTGAAAAAAACAACACAAGAAAAAACACACTAACACGTACACGCACGCGCGCATACACACACACGTGCGCGCGCACGAACGCAAACACACAAAAACAAGAAAACATACACACACACGCATACGCACCAACACACACGCGCGCGCACACGCACACACACACACAACAACAACACAACATAGTTTTACTCAGTTTGAATTTATATAATTTTATTTGCCCAACAATAAGTAGACATTTTATTAATATTAATATTTACTATGAAAAAAGTATCAATATTTATCATAATTGGTATGAAATGAATTTGACAATATCAAGCCTGACAAACATAATTTTTTATTGATATGTTTTATTGATCGTATTTTATGCTATATTTTTTTATTTTGTAGCACACGAATCATTTGTTGCTAGGGGCTCCTGGAATCATGGACTGGTTAGGGGGTTTTGTTGCCCTGGAAGGAGACAGTGCAAAAGTGATGCAAAATTTTGTAAACTCGACAAACATCATCCGACCATACATTGGTATAAGCTAGTTTTTTTTAAGTACAGTTTGTAGTTTGCAAGTCATAGGGGATGAATTTCATTCATAATGCAATGTGTTGAGCGAGGGACATAAGGCGTTTTCTATAAATGGATTTTTCATTTGGTTTCGAAATTAAACGCTGTCACTACGGTTTTTTAAAGCAGCCTCCAGCTTTATTTTCTGTTGGATAAACAATTTTGAGTTGTTTCAAACTAAGTCTTTTTATAATTTTATCTAGGAAAATAGTGCCTCGTGTCACTGTTAAGCCTTTTTTTTTAATACAGCGTCCCGGAAGCTATTTATAACGCATAGGTGACCTTAGTTTCTAAAAATAGAAGCTGCGGAAAAGAATCACCAGCTTTACTAATTTAAATATCAAGGAATTTCCTTATTGTATATGTATTTCATTTCTAAGTTTATTCTTTTGATTTGAATTAATATGGTCATATTATTTTACATCATAATTTAATAAAAGTATTTTAGCATTCATGACATCATCTTTATCAGTGTTTCTTTAATTATTTCGATGATAAAACATACGCGGTTTAGAGGGGCTGATAGGTTTATGTCAATGCGATTTATTTGAAAACCCATCTTTTTGTCTTGTCACCAATAAATACCAGTATGAAGATGCATTAAAATGTACACGCATAACACCGTTCAAAGGATTGACCGCAAAACTGCAGTAACTCTTATGAAATAAAGAAGGACTTTCCTAATTCCGTTTTTAAAAACTTGAAACATTTCTTTGCAATTGATATTTACGATTTTGTTTGACAATCTTACGTATATAAAACAAAAATTCATTGCGAATATAAAGGATACTTTTATAGCTAAGAAATATTGTGCTTGTTTTATAGTTTCAGTTTCTTGTAAAATTGCAAATGACATTTCACATTTTAAATTCTATTCTTACAAATTAGGTTATTCGTCTTCAAGTGGAAGGTATTTTTCCGATGGACTGACTTACTTTGCATTTGGAGCACCTAGGGCAAGCATGTCCGGCCTGGTAAGTAAGTATCAAACCATAATCACACGCTAAATAATAGAAAGAGCATGGAAACACGAGGCGTAGCCACCGAGTATTAATCAAATTGCCGAGTGTTTTGATGTTCTTCCTCTTTTGTATCATAGTCAAACATAAAACATGTTCCCTGTTATCACAATATGAAACCCTAGAAAAGGATAGCCAATGAACGAGCATCTGAATATGATATTTCTATCGCTTTCCATTACTCTGCCGTCGAAATAAGTTAATCCCAGAAGAAATTGAGCCAATCAATGGGCATGCTTTGGAGTACGGGTAACTTATACCTGCACTTCAGTTAATGTACTGTGCATGTATATGTATACGATTCAACTCTGACACATTTTCAACAGAAAGTTCCCCAAACTATGTTACAATTCAATCATAAATATTCTCTGCTTTGCGTCAAGAAGTGATCTTTTTCCATTTTACACTTGTTCTTATAAATTGTATTTAATAAAATTAAGATAAAAATAAAATCTAGACAATGCGAGACAAATCTAGTTCTTCATAATTTTCAGAACGAGGTCTCTTTTGATTATTTCTATATTTTTTTGGCAAAACATTTGCGGGTTGTTAAAAGACCAAAATAGATCAATTTTTGACGGAAAGTCTTAAAATTATTAAAGGATTTTAGACGGATTTGAATTGTTGACATTATAAATGACTAAAATTAAATCTATTCTGATCAATCTGTTTCCAGGTATTGTTCTTCAGATCAAACGAAGCACAACATTCGTTGCAAAGCGCTTCAAAGATATTACAAGGCAGCGTTAACGGAAAGGTAATAACTATGACCAAGTTCATTTGATTTTTGGCCTCCAGCCCAAGAAAAAATATAAAACACATCATAGAAAGTTAATGACAAATTATAACATAATAATTATGTTAAAGGGACACCGCCAAGGTTTTTTTTACATGACGACCATTTGTTGCCTATACCAAAAACTTATGTGCAAAGCTTCAGACCATCCACATACTCCATCTTTTATCCAATTTTCTTTTGTGTTTAGAATAAAACAACATATACCATAAGTAATATATCATCCATATCTAATACTGTTCATATAAAATATTTTATTTTAACTAATTCTAAATAACATGGAATAAAAAGCTTATTTTTAAATAGTGATAATTGATCCAAATTGGCACTCTTCTTTCCTTACAATGATTAGAAATTAATCCTAAATCGATCTTGAATAAAAAATACAAGATCAGTTTCCCGTTATAATGGAACAAACATATGAAGAAAATCTACTGTAGGGTATAATAATTAAAATAATGCTTTGATTATTAATTTATGAACTAACGAACTATTTTTAACTTAGATTTTACCAGCGAATTCCTATTTTGGAGCGACCTTGTGTACAATGGATGTCAACGGTGATGGCATGGACGATTTGCTTGTTGCAGCCCCAATGTACAGTACCTTTGAAAACAATGTTTTCTCAACGGAGAACTTGGAAATCGGACTTGTATCAGTCTATCTGGGATCAATGATGGTATTGAAAAATATAGTTCCCTTCCTTTTTGTATTGATTATATTTGTATATTGGTTACATATACATTTTAGCCGGTATCTCTTGCGTTATGGAACGTTCTAAAATGTAACATATAGTCGACCGTAAAACAGTCCCGCCATAAAATTTCCTATAATCTTATTATTTTCAGGTTTAGGGCCACGTGACTGCTCGCAACCTTATGTTTCCCATAAAAACTTGTAGTAGATATTTCTAATATGCTCCCATATAAATATTTTAAAATACATTTATTAAGAAACAAACAAAACTGCCAAAGCATGACTTTGTTATAGTTAATGACATTTACAGAGAGAAAAAAATGTTTTAGAAAGTAAACTTTCCAAACTATATTTTGGTCTAGATTATGGACTTCAAAGCATCGCCGCAGATGTTGACAGGAACCGAGGTTCATGAGAGGTTTGGAAGTGCCATTGCTGACCTTGGAGACATTAATTCAGATTCCTTCAAAGGTTTGTTCCTTTGTCATATTTGTAAATACTCATGAAAATAATGTTATTTTTTGCGGTTGAAATTTTATGCAATGTTGTTGTCATATTAACAATATTCGTTTAAAATAGATGTATCAATTAATGTTGAGCAATTTGATGTGTTAGATAAGAAAGTTATGTTCTAGGGTCCAGCGTCCCCTTCAATAGACATTCAATTATACAGTGGGTGTCTCTTGAATTGTAGTTGAACATGACTGTTTGTTGCAGCTTTACCTTAAGTACGATACTGTTTATACATTGAAATTATGCCACACAGTTAAATGTTCTATTTCAGCTAGGTATTTAGTTGAATATAGATTTTGATTTGTATTTTTTTTTCCTTAGAACATTTTTAGTTGTTAATAAATATCAAATGTGATTATATAGTCAACTATGGTGGATAAGTTATTTCACTTATTTGCTTGACCTCGTCTATTTAAGCAAAACATTTCATAAAGTTCATGAGAAAAATAACACAAAACAAAAACAAACAAACAAAAAACTCACACAAAAACAGCAATGACTATATAGAACGAAAAAAAAAATTCTCCCAAAAATGAATGTACATATAGAGACGCATGCCGAAAACTAGATTCCATTTCATTTTCACTACAAAATAAATCAAAACTCATACATTTATACAGGCAGCAGACTTTATAAGCGTATTTATTTCACCAAATACATGTCAGATAGTGTACATATGGTGAGTATATAACAGAAAGCAAATGGCAACAAGTTTCTAGCAACATTCGATTAAGCCCCTCCCTTTATTCACATCAGTACATTTTTACACAAACGTCTGCAGTTAAGTACACTACACGCATAGCACTATAATTTGTCAGTTTCTAACATCAAATTTCTTTTGAATATTTATTTGTTTGAACAGATGTTGCAATAGGAGCTCCATATGCAGACGGCTTAAGAGGTGCAATATACATCTACAATGGATACACTGGTGGCGTATGGCCTAAATATTCTCAGCGAATAATGGCTTCTGAAATTGATACGGGGCTGAGAGGGTTTGGAATTTCAATTTCACAAGGAAGAGACATGAATTTTGATGAAATAAATGGTGAGACATATTATGAATTAAATGAAGACATAAATTGTGAGATATATCAAATATTTAATTAATAAACTTATTTCTCAGTCACACAAAATGTCTTCCCGCTGTAGTTTACAGTTGAAGGTGCAGATAGGCAGTAGCGGCCGTAACAAGATACAAAATCATTTGGGAGTATTTCATATAGATATGACCCTTGACATATTACTAAACATTACATGAACTCGAGAGGTTCTTTACAGGTTTTGTTTCATTTGAAGTTTAAAGAAAGAAAAGCACATTCATATTGAAAACATGATAAATAGTATACCAAACAAGTGTCTGATATTGTAATTCTTTTCTGGCTCGGCACGAAAAAAAATGCCTTAGCTTTGCCTGAAAAGTTTTGTAATATCAGACACTCGCATGGTATGTTCTATCTATTATAGCTGATTGCATTTGCAGAAAAACTAGCATTGTTATAGTTATAGACAATACCATGCTAGTGTTTGATAATACAAAAATTTATCAGACAAGGCAAAGAAAAACAGAAGAAGGAGGCTTTGCCGAGCCCTTCATTTTTTTTCGTGCCGAGCCTGGTAAAATTTATAATATCAGACACTTGTTTTGTAGTCTTGCTATTTATCGTGTTTTCAATTTAAATATGCGTTTCTGTCTTTAAAATTTCAAATGATATAGAACCCTTTCAAGAACATCTCGGTTTAATGCTAACCAATGGTCATATCTATAAGAAATAGTCCCACATGTTTAAGTCAAATGTAAGAGAGACTTCAATATTTAAAGAATCTATTCGATTCAAAGTTTATCACTACTAAGCATGCAACATGCTCTTTATCAACAGAAATTAATGTACTGGTATGATAAAATAATATATATTTTCTAAATATTTGTAGATATAGTAATAGGCTCCTACTTGTCAGACCAAGCTGTCGTTTTGTACGGAAAATCAGTGATACATGCACATAGTGACTTCAGCGTTGTTGACAGCAGAGGCTCTCTAACAAATGTTGTCGAAGTAAACGGTGACAGGAGGGAATCCGTCTTGGTTTGTTTCCATTACTCTGATCGGCGATGCAGTTATCTTAGTGAGTATTTTAAAGATTAAGTAATCAGTAAATGTAGGAGAAAATTATCAGTATTTAGGAGTATGATATTACACGTCATGGTGTTCAGATGCTTAGTGGTATAAGATGGAAGACTGTAAGAAAAATAACAAACATCTCAACGGCATTCGAATTAATCCACAAAACTTCATTTTTTATTAATAACCTATTTGCATTTTGTTATCTTGAAATCCCTCTATACTATCTTTTTTTATCACTGTGACTATATATCTTTATTTGCATGCTTTAAAATGAGTCGCAGTGAGGGTTAAATTCTATTGATTTCTGCACAAGTATATTGTACTGAAATAGTGTAAAACTTGAAACCGTACATTTTACAGTCAACCATAAACGGTAATATTTATTTAACAGTTAAGGTATTACCACTCTAATGGGCACTAAAGGAACTGAATAATTTATATCATAGATCAGATATATACCTTAAAGTACATCTGTATGCAAAATTTAAACAAACTTTACCGTACGGAAATCGAGTTATGGCCACTTTTAAGAACTGAAGCTAGGGTGTATGAGGGCCCTTTTTCAAAAACGAGTAACCTTTAAATACTCTGCAATAACATTCTAATGAAAAACGTTTTCCCATTAATTTTTGGTAAGAAACAAATAGTACTATTCAGCTAACAATCAACATAAACAAAATTATGGTTTCTACTCAAAGTTTATAAAATATGTATAAAAATGTTACCCTACCCCACCCTTTTTTAACACGTGTTTGACCATTTTCCTACTTAGGGAGCCTTATTTAAAAAATCCTTAAACTTTACCCAAATGAGTGCCTGTTTTCAAAGTTTCCCTACATTTTTAAAAAAGTAAATTGGTTGATCTTGTAAAATATTAAATACTTTCACCTCTAGTTTTGATTTTATTACACTTTGAAAATATCAGGTATATCCATATTTATTACTAGATTTAGCATTATTTAGCCAATAAATACCTATATAAATTTAATAATAAAAAATAAACACTTTTTTCTACCCAAAATGGATGGAGAGATACATAAATAATGTAAAAAGAAAAAAAAGAAAGAAAAAAATGTTGACCCATCTGAGGTTTGAACCCATGGCCCTCAGTTTCAATGTAGTTAACAGTAGTTCTAGCCTATTTGAATACTCTTCAAAGCGGAGGTAAGGCATTAGGATGGTAATACCTTAATAATTACTAGTTAATACTAGTTTAGTGTATTTATTATAAGATTTAGTATCGTACTCCTTAACAATGTTTTCTCTTCGTTTTTCAGTGTTAAACTTGACAATAACCTTGGATATAAAAAACGGGGATCAAGCAAGGATTGTATTTGAGACAAATAACCAACCAACCTTGTCTCACAGTTTAAAAATATTAAATGATGCTTACAAGTGTACACCGCCCGCTGTTATAAAAACAAAAGTAAGATTTTATTCTCAATTGTTTGGAATAAACGTTGGTTATACTTGAATAATTAACATTTATATCACTTAGGCCAAAACACATTGTCAAGTTTGGCAAAGATATAAACTATTAAGTTTGTGCGAAAGGGTATATGCTAAAAATTAAATGGAAACAATGTTGAATGATATGTAACAATGTATTTACAGTTGTACATTACATTACTTAAATAGGAGTATTGAAATTCTTTTGTAAGGTCAGACTGTAAAAAAGTAAGATATAAGTCACATCATTGTTTTTATATTGCACAATAAAATGCATTTAACGATTTAAATTTTACAAATATCAACAAATACTTATCTATGAAATTATTCTTTGTTTATGAATAATTATCAGGTAATGAAAATATGTATCTTATAATACCATATGTGTTCTAAACGCAATACTGTTAAATTGGTTAATGAAACTTTAAAATGCTTGGTTTTTATGCCGACGGAAATTTCTTTATACATATTTAAAAATGACAACTTTCTAGTCATTGTATTTGTTTTTCTGCAATATTCAATTCAACTATAATTTGTGTTATTTTTTTTAAACCATCTGAGCTTATGAAGGTGGATTCATAAATTTATTTAATGCAGCTGTAATCAAGTAAGATATTGATTGTTCATGTTCTATATTTTCTCCTACAGTCCACGCACGATCTTGTCAGTCTTTTAGAACTTCAGACCGATTATTCAGTAGATGAGATTCTATGTCCTGGTCTCACCGTCAAAGCAGCAATCAGTCATTTTGATGGAGCTCACCCTGGTGATCCTTTATTACAACTGAAGAAAGAGGTACGTTGTCTTGTTTAAAAAAACTTCGAACAATCCAGTTTTAATTAAGTCTAAATAATATTTTATTTCAATGTACAATTATATATTATGATGGCATATTTCTGCCACCAGATAACCATATAACTAACAAGTTAATTAAGGGGTTAACTAGTTATGTAACTAGTTAGTTATGTTGTTAACTAGTAATGTCACTAGTTATTTTTTTCAATAAATAAAAGATCATAACGGGAAATAAATGCATGTTAGTGCCTACAACTGCCATCCTTTTTATTATTTTACTAGCTTAATATAAAGAGGTTAACTAGTTCACTAACTAGTTAATCTTTTAACTAACTAGAAAAACATGCAAAATAATTCAAATAGGCTTTGAAGCCCATAAGGACAAACATGCAAAATAATTGCAATAGGCTTTAAAGCCCATAAGGACAAACATGCAAAATAATTCCAATAGGCTTTAAAGCCCATTAGGACACAAACATGCAAAATACTTCCAATAGGTTTTAAAGCCCATGAGGACAAAAACATGCAACTAATTCCAATATGCTTTAAAGCCTATGAGAACACAAACATACATAATAATGAACAGTGTATGACATCAACATATTTACATGTTGACAATATCAACAATCATCAAATGTTTGGAGAAGATCAATTTCGATTGATAAAGAAAATACCAGCCATATTTTTCATAAGAGGTGTATATTGTTTTCTTTATTTCGAAATTTATCTATAAACCACTCATTTAATGGTTTATTTACTAGGTATCAAAAACTTTTAACTTATACAGTATGTACGACATTCTTTATTTACTGTCGCTTGAAAACTGTTAATTATGTAATAGGAAAGTATTGTAACTGATTCAGACTTTTCTCCATTGTAAGAAAATACAGTCTTTCTTTTAAATATCATTGTTTTACATGTATACATTTTTTCGTCATTTGCAGAAACATTTCCTTTTTAACTGAGCTAAGAATTATGTTTCAATTTATACTTACACAATTTCACTGAATATTTAATTTTTAATTTTATAAATATTATTTATGAATTAAACCAATTAACCAAATTAAAAGAAAGGATACTATTGTACAGAACATAGCCAAACATTTATTCCTTTCTTTAAATATTGAATAGAGGCAGTTACTTTGAAATGCTTACTTTTACATAACACATTATTTCTTTTGTTTACCAACAGCTTCAGTTCAAGAACGAATGTCCTAACAACTATTGTAAAACAAATCTAAGACTTGGAGCCAACGCCAAATATATAAATGTTGATGGTTACTTTGTCATCGGCAATCAAGACCTCGTTGTCGATGTTAATATCTCAAAAGAAGGTGACGCATCATACGGGTCTGTGTTTTATATGGTATATCCAAGATACGTTGGTTATAAGAATGTAGAAAAACTGCGTGGAGAGACCGATATATCTTGCTCAATAGTTGACAGCCGAGCTAATGACACAAGTGTAACTCTAGCCAAGGACGAAGCGGCTGTATCATGTTTGTTTGGAAATCCGATGTCAAATGATACCGAAGTTCAATTCAGGTTGTTCATGATCGTTCCCGTAACAGTTGCTAATGATGATAAGTCAATGATGCTGAATATGCATGTGTCTACTCTAAGTGAGGAAACAGACCCTAGCAACAACAATCAAACAATTACTATCAATCTCAGGCATAATCTGGAAGCAGCTTTAACAGCGTAAGATGATATTAGTTATACTGATAATACTGATTTATTTTAGTTCGATTGCGTTGAAAGCTATAAGCTTATTGAAGCACTCTCGCATCCGTTCCTGGAACCTTTCAGTACTAAGCAATGAGTGTTTAGTTTCTTGATCAAGGAAACAACGGGCGTGAGATATTACAGATGTTATTGAAAGTTATTACCTATACTCTGTTGATTATTTTGATTTAGTAAAAGAATTTCATACTAGAAAAACTACAAAAAATTAAGAAACAAAAACTATTCTTATTGAGCCTAATGTAACTATGTAATGTAACTCCTGCAATGTATTTTGGATGGTAATGTTACTGTCCTTATTTGTCTTTGAATCATTAAAGTAAAAGTAGTGTTATTGAAATTTATACTTTATCACAGTTTGCAATATTGTTACTAGTATCTATATCTGAAATTTAACTTAAGACATTTCTATGTATAGATCTTTTCAAAAGTATGTAGAAACAGTAGCAATGTATGTATGTTTTTCATACACTTTTGTCAATGTAGTTATTTTACTTTCAGAATATCAGCACAAGAAACGATATACATAGGAAAGAGTAAAACGTTGCCTAATATGCAAAATATATATGAGCTGTATAATAAGGGACCGAGTAGTCTACAGTCAGCTAGGATATCTATATCATTCCCACAAATTCAGAATCCTGAGAAAGCAATCTTATATCTTAACAAAACACAGGTATAGCAACACCAGAGCTGCATCAGTACTAAGGGTGTAGTACTTAAGTACCGGTACTTGGCAAATTATGCAGTACCATTACCAGTACCAGTACTAGATTTTAGCTCGCTACTGCAGTACCAGTACTTTTTTTGGTGAAGTAATTAAGTATCAGTACCATTACTTTTATATATTCATCAAAGTTTGAATAAATACAGTGTCAAACAAATAATTGCAAATATTATTCAGCAAAGAAATAAAATCATAATTTACTTTAAAGTTAACATAACATGTTTACAACTTTATAGTTTTAACATACTTTTTACAAACAATATTTACAACATATATTCATGTCATATTTAATTGTTTAGTAACCAGTCAACTGTATAAATTACAATGCAAACATCTTTCATTTAAAACACAACAGTCTTTTGTTGCCTTTCACACCTTCACACCTCTGTGCAATTTATACCAAAGTAAATAACAACTTTTTATGGTGCTAAAAATATCACTTTTTTCACTTGAAATGGGTTTATTTAGAATAGTAGAAATTAATTAGTGTTTATTTTGCTCTTTTACTAGTAAATACAAAGTAATAAAAGATTTTAATAAGGATATTTTAGAGTAAATAGTTATCGAGTCTGTTTATCTTTATTTAATTTTTACTTAAAGTCTTTGGTGTTTTTTATGATGAATACTATGTTAACATTTGAAAGAATATTGCAGCAAATTATCACTTACTTTTTCACAAAAATAAAATATAGTTCATGTAATTTACAGCTTTATTTTATGAGAAAAATTGATGCTTTTTTAAATTTTTATCAAAACCAAAAGTACTGGGTAATGCAGTAGCAGTACCACTTTTTAAGACAGTAATGCAGTACCAGTACCAGTAGTAGCAAAATTTTGTAAGAGTAATTCAGTATCAGTACCAGTACTTGCAAAATCGCTGCAGTACGTACTGCAGTACCAGTACCAGTAATGCAGCTCTGAGCAACACAGAACATATTTTCATTCTTAAATATTTTGATGTGTTGTCAATTTTGAACAATTCAAAAGCGATGTATTGGCAGTGATAGAAACGGTTCTGCTGACAATGACCTTAGTAGTAATGGAGACGAAGACAATGATGACGATGATGACGACGACGATAAAAAACAAACGATAACCGAGTTTAATTGAGTTCTTGTTAAATGCCTTTTAGTTTCAGAATATTGTCAACATTAATATTGAAATGAATGATTTATTAATGATTAAAGATAATCTCACTGTTTGAGGTGAAAATACACTTTAGTT